TTACTGCTAGTCTGAGCGATAGCACGCTGGCGCGTCTCTATCACCGAGAGGGTGGCGACGAAGTCGCTAAGGGTGAGGTCAGTAGGGTGAAGGATAAGGAAGGTGTCGCGGGCAGTGGCTAGGCAGTCGAGGAGGCGTGTGGCTAGGAAATAAAGCATAGCACCGAGGGGGGGAGGAAGTACAGTAAGCTAGGCCTCGGTATCAGTAGCACGGTAGCTAGACTCAAGCGCGCGCAGGTAAGTGGCAAGATCACGGACAGTGGGGAAGGACGCGAGATCAAGAAAGAGCAGGGGCGGGAGGAGGAGGCCAGCACAGGCGGAGGAGGGAATGGAATAGTAAAGAATGACTGCATCTAGGTACTCCTTGGCCGTCTCTAGGGCCTAAAAGTGGGGATGCTCGGACAGGGGGAGAGCGTGACTGATAGCGAGCTACGTGGTGGCATCATGAGATTTCCAGACAGAGAGAATGAGCTCAGGAGCTGTGAAGGCCTCACGCTCAGTAGGCGTGGGGGCGTTAGGTAGGGCCGCAGGCATGGGGGGGCAAGGCAGCTTGCCGTCGACATGGATGGTCAGGTACTGGCACAGGTCGGTGAGCTACGCCTTAAGATTGAAAGCTCGATCCTCTGCGTCTAGGCAGAGAACAGCGTCTGCCATCACGCACAGCTGCAGCAGCTGGAGACCTCAGGCGGAGGAGGAGCAGGGGGCAGGTAGGTGTGCTGGAGTGCGGTGGAGAGCGGTGGAGATCGGTGGGGTGCGGTGAAGTGTGGTTGAGTTTGGTGGAGTATGGTGAAGCCGCGAGAGTGGAGACAGCCGACGGGAGCGCCAGCGCAGAAGAGAAACCAGGGCCGGTTGCAGGCTTGGGCGGGCAGCTAGTTGGGGCCAGCGCTGAGCAGGGGCCGGCGCGGCAAGCTGGGGCGGCGCAGCGAGCCAAAGCCGACGCAGCTAGCTGGGGCGTCGCGGCAAGCCGGGACCGACACGGCAAGCTGGGGCGGCTCGTCAAACTAGGGCTGGCGGCGAGCTGGTGCCGGCGATGAGCAGGGGTGGCGCGGCGAGCAGGGGCCAGCGGCGAGCTGGGGCCGGCGGCAAGTTGGAGCCGACAGCGAGCAGGGGACGGCGGAGAGCCGTGGGCCTCGTGGCGAACTGGGGGTCGCGCGAGCTGGAGCCAGCGGCGAGCAGGGTGGCCTCACGTCAAGCGGGGGCCAGCGACGAGCTGAGGCCAGCATCGAGCTGGGGCCGGTTAGCCGCACAGCGAGCTGGGGCCATCGTGGCGAGCTAGGGCGGTGCTGCGCGTTGTGCTGGGACCAGCGCAGCAGGCTAAGGGCCAGTGCGGCAATTCTATGGGCCAGCGCGGTGGGCTAGGGGCCAGCGCGGCGGGCTAGGGGCCATATCGAGGAGCTAGGGGCCAGCGTGGCGGGCCAAGGGCCAGCGTGGCGGGCCAGGGGCCAGCGCGATGGGCTAGGGGCCATCACGACGGACTAGGGGCCAGCGCGACGGGCCAGGGGCCAGCGCGGAAGGCTAGGGGCCAGCGCGGCGGGCTAGGGGCCAGCGCGACAGGCTAGGGGCCAGCGTGACGGGCTAGGGGCCAGCGCGATGGGCTAGGGGCCAGCGCGGCGGGCTAGGGGCCAGCGCGACGGGCTAGGGGCCAGCGCGGCGGGCTAGGGCAGGCACGGCAAGCTAGGCGGAGCGCTTGACATAGGCTAGGGTGGGCGCTCTACGATAGGCTCGGGCGGAAGCACAGGTGAGTGGGACCTACCTAGTGTGGGACTAAGTGAATGGTAGCAAGGGCATTCAAGGTGATATATGTGTTTGGGTTGTACTCTCTAAGAGCACGAACCTATCTAGCCTATAATTAGGCATCTATAACAAATGTGTTTTGACATAACGGTACCAATTGCAAAACAAATCCCAATGTACATACCAAACCAATCTCTGGATTTCATAGGGGTTTGGAGTCGGGGGCGTTTTAGGCTTGGTGACCGAACCAAGCTCCATACCTGGCTGGTTCGGTTTTGAAAATGTATAATCCGCTCGTTTTGCAACTCTTCGGTAGAACAACTGCTTGCAATTCCCGCACCTCGACAACCCCAGAATGCAATTGCGAAATAGTCGAGCTGCATGATACGGTACCCTGCCTTCAACTCTGGTAGCAGAAAAATGCTACTGTAACAAGTAGGCACTCCTTTGGATTGTCTCACCTATTTCCTTCTGAAATTTGAAATACAATTTCAAATGTGCATGTCTTGGAAACGAGCCAGCTCCATAGCGAAGGTGGTTGTCAGATCTTCGCAAGGAATCGATTGAAGGGGTTGATTCATGGTGATGGTTCGTGAAGGTGATCAATTATCATCCTTCTCTAGGGGCCGTTCGCTGACCAATTTTTCACCGGCACGGCGAGGGAAATCAGGCATGTGGAACATCGACCGAGGCTTCGTGGGTTCGCCGAACCCAATTTGCGAAACATGACGTCCGCATGCGACATCGTCGCGTCGGTTCGGTTTCCCCAAACCAAGGGCCCCCAAATCGCGTGCCCCTTCTCATGCCAAACCCGAAGCGCGGCCATCAGCCGCCCAGAGCTGCCAGGCAAACTTCAATTTCACTCCGTGCCACACCTCATATTGCAAAATCGTGGTATGAGGCAGGCCAAGATTGGCATGCCTCTTGGCTGGGCAGGTTTACGAAACCCAAAAAAAAACCCGCAGTTCACGATTGTCCCTCACAGCCACTTCCCCTCCAACCCTACCCGTCAATCTGCCCAATTGCGCCAGCTCGTACCCATCCAACCGGCCACATTTTGAAATGTTAAAAAAAAAATGCAGTATTGACAAAATTGTGTGAAACATCTTTCTCCGCTAGATTTTGGACGAAATTGCGATGGGCTAACAGGGCTTTTGATGGGCCCCACTCTTCTTTTTCCACGAGTTTGTCGTATCCAGGCCTGCAGTCGTGACCAACGTAATCATGAGCCGGCGACGTTATGATTACCGAAGTACTGGGGCACACAAAAACAAATTATGTAGGTTTGGCTGCGCAGATTCCATGCGCGCGGGATTTGGTCGCCCGTTCCCCTTCCCGTTCCCCTCGGAAAATTTCCCGCGAACGGCCCCCTGATGGGCCCTGCCCCTGTTGTAGTTTTGCGTCAGTCAGTCAGCCTGACAAACCCCACCGACCAAGTCTGCATACCATCAGGCGAAACCTGTCCTAGTGTTCTGCCCTCCTGGCAAAAAGCGCGGCGCTGCAGGTAAACGAGTCAGTTTCACGACGCGCGACGATGTCAATTGGATAGTGTCGGCAGTAACCACCTTTCGCGCCCTTTTCTTTGCGCTAACTGAGCAGGGCTCTGGCTTGGTTTTTCATCATCTCGGACGAACCAGGCCCCTCGGAAAATCGCCCTGTAAAATTTATCCTCGTAACAAACTTTCCCTGATTCTTCAGGGTCCGTGCTAAAAAGGGCCTGATAGGTTATCCCATCTTTGCTGGACAAGATAGTGAGGGTACCAGTGGGCGACTTCGGGGTGGGAAACCTGCCCCCTCACCAGCACCAATGCTGCAGATGAATCATGCACGTGCAGTTGTTATATTTAGGCCAGGGGGCTGGGAAGAAAGGGGGTAGGGTGGGAGGGACGGGGCGAGTTTCAGTGGCATTAACAATTGTTCCTGGAAGCTCATTTTGAAACCAACCGCTAAGAGGGAAAATGGGGACCAGAGTGGGGCTAAGGGTGAAAGGGAAGAACGGGAAGTTTCACAGATTCCTACACCCCCTGGAGGCTAACTAGGTGTCCAGGCTCCCTCAAAACCGCCCCGGACTCCTACGGGTCAGTGGATAAATCCCCCATGATTTCAGGGCTTTCTTGGTAAAAAGTCATCGAAAACACAGGTTTGGCCTTAAGAAACATTGGATTTTCAGTTAAATCGAATAAATTACCCCGTTAACGTGTGCCCTGCAACTGAGGGAACATTCCGCAGCGAGTGTTAGACCCGAGGGTTTAGCGGGAAGATCCGAGACTGGGGAAAAAAAAATGCATCGGGTCTTGCGAAAAACTGACGGGTCCAGCCAGTCAGCTGTCGAGCCGAACAACTAACAAAGTCGTGCAAATGAGCTTCCACCATTCATAAATTCGCAAATTTCGCTTGGGCTCGAAAAGTTCGGCCAATATAGTCGCAAGCCTCCCCTTGCGACAGCTAGCGACTATGCAGCCGCTGCACCGTCAAGAAACTTAAACCCGCAGTTAGGTTGTGACAGCCCGCGGCTCCTCCGGCCGCGAGTCGACTTCGGCTCTGAAACTAGCTACAGAATACTCCCTGAGCCCAGCCTTTCTATCGCGCCACGATGTGATGCGACGCGGTCCGATGTGATTGCAGGTGTTTCAGACCAGCGCCCAGACCAGACCAGATGGGACATTGCAGCACATGTTGAAGGGGTGTGAGATGAGGGATGGGGAAGAAAATTGAAGCAACGCAGTCTCTCCTCTCCACTCCATATGGCGGGCATGTTTTGGAGGGCTGAGCCTAAGACCCCCTATCTCAGCTTCTACCCGTCCTCCCATCTCAGCGTCTTGCACTAGCTGGGTTCCGTTCAAATAAAAGAAAACCTCCATGCCCATCTGCTGGTGCCGCCGGCCACTTTATCCAACACATCACGCGCCCATCTAGTCGCTGTCACCATCTGCGCGTGTAGATTGCCCAACAGCGGGGAACATGCAGGGCAGATGTGCGCTGACATGATGCGTACGGCGCAACGCCTAGTCAGGAGTCCCCGCATTGCGCACGGCTTTCCGTCGCCCCTGAAACACACCTGCGACGATGAAGGCGTGCTTGCGATGCGAGATAGATACACCGAGAGAGAGCGACAGGTGCACACATATCCACACGCCAACAGAAGCATGAGGGCATCCGCGTCGCAGCGCGCGTAGATCAGGCTCGGGAAGAGTCAGGCCTGTCTGCAATCGGAGAGGGCCTTAGTGCTCCTAGCGGGCCATTTAGAGAACATTCGTATCGCCCGCCCCCAAGTCGTCCACCACACATTTGCACTCGCTCCCTTACCCAGTACTGCACTCACTGCATCACTCCACCTGCATGTACGTATGGGACTCAGGCCCTTTCCTACTCGCTCCCCGGTTCTATCTGCGCTCCTAGAGACGTGCACCCATCACCAGCGCCGTCCCTCTCAAAACGCACGAAGGGACAACGCACGGACTTCGCTCTCGGCTTACGGCCCGGTCCGCCCATTAGACATATCGATCCTGCTATCACAAGACAGCTTCGTAGAAACTGCACAAGCACAAGCTGTCCGCATAAGGGTTCCTCGAAACGGCCTTTTCGTGACACACCTTCACCACTCATCAGCTCTCCTCCAGGTCTCGTGTCTCCTCCTTCAGTCTGCACTGCGCAGTGCTCTTCAACCCCTCTTCAATCCCTTTTAGGTGTAGTCACTCTATTTAATGCCTCAGGCGGTGAGGCGTCTCAAATTACAGGCTCGTGCTTCTTAAAGCGATTAGCCTCTAATTGTCCGAAAACAAGGTGTTCCGAGTGGGCTCCTTTCCGCAAGAAGAGCAGCAGCTACTGCCTGACGAATCCTGTTTCGACCTGTTGGGAAAACACCCAAGATGTCTCGACCTGGCTTGTTCCCATCTACAAGCGGCGCAGCCGCACTGGCTGTGCTGCTGCTGCTCGTGTCGGGCATGCAACACACGCCCTCATGGCTGCCCACGGCGCAACGAGGGCCGCCGCCGCTGCTGCTGGCGGCGGCGGCGGCGACCGGAGGGCAAAACTACGGCGACGCGCTCGCCCTGAGCATCCTCTTTTTCGAGCAGCAGCGGTCCGGAAAGCTGCCGCCTAATCAGCGAGCCAAGTGGCGCGGGGATTCCGGACTGAAGGACGGCAAAGATGTCGGGGTGAGTGCTCTAGGGGGTGAGTGCTCAAATGTTATCCAGCTGGTTTCGGCTCACGCATGGCGGCTTGACTGGGGCGGGTCCAGGCGAACGAGTCTCTGTATCCCGCGAAAATCTCTTGAACGAGTATCATGTCCTGTCAACAAGAACGTGTCCCTGTTACTTGACTGCACCTGGCGTGCTGCAGCTCTCAGCTCTCAGTCGTACATCTCTTGAGAATCGTGTATTGCACCTGAGTGCTCGCAGCTCCGGCGGTTGCCTCTCGGCGGAAAACTCCCCCCCCTGTCCCCCAAAGCACAACGCCTCAACCCCTCCCCTGGACTCTGCCCAACCTCCCGAACTCCCCGCTCCCGATCCGCACCGACCCCACTCCCCACCGCCCCCAGGTGGACCTATCCAAGGGCTACTACGACAGCGGCGACAACGTGAAGTACGGGCTGCCCATGGCGTTCACGGTGGCCACGCTGGCGTGGGGAGTGGTGGAGTACGGTAGCCAGCTGGAGGCGCAGGGGCAGCTGCAGTACGCGCTGGATGCCGTGCGCTGGGGGGCAGACTTTTTTGTAAACGCGCACCCCGAGCCGAATGTGCTGTATGCCCAGGTGAGTGGGGGAGGGGGGGATGCGCGCAGAGGTGCATGAGCGGGGGAGGGGGGTGGTGCGCGCATGTCTGGTAACCGGGGGCGCGAGGATTCGTTTAGGCGACTCAGAAAGCATTTTTTCCGTCCTATGTTTTGCCAAACCGCTAACAGTCTATCCGCTCAGCGCCTGCTCCCTCCCGCCTTCCAATCGTGAGGAGTCTATTTTTGAGGCGCCTCAAAAACATAAGTGCTGGATTTCCCCTCACCCTCTCTTCCTCCCTCGCACCCCCCTCCCTCCCCCATCTCCCTTTCCCCCCCCTCTCTCTCCCCTCCGCAGGTGGGCGATGGCGTGTCGGACCACGCGTGCTGGCAGCGGCCCGAGGACATGACCACGCCGCGCACGGCGTACCGCCTGGACGCTGCCAATCCCGGCACGGAGGTGGCCGCGGAAGCCGCCGCCGCCCTCGCCGCCGCGAGTCTCGCGTTCGTGGCGAGCGATAAGGGGTACTCAACCACGCTGCTGCGCCACGCGCGCGAGGTGCGTGCGAGTGGGCTGGTGGCAGCTCGTAGTGCCATTTCGCCCCACGACTTCCCCCCATCCCTCGCTTACTCCTCCTAACTCCTTGGCACCCCTGGCCATTGTAGCATTAACGCCTCCCACCTCTCCATCATACTCCGTCGCGTCTCCACCTGCGTCCCTCTCACGAATCGACTCCCTTTTCCCTCTGTCTTGCCTCGTTCCCCCACGCTCTCGCCTCCCTCCACTCCCCTCGCGTGTCGCCCTTGTGTATAGCAGCTCTTCGCCTTCGCGGACAAGTACCGGAGGACGTACACTGCCAGCATCCCCTCCGCCGCCACCTACTACCAGTCCTACTCCGGCTATAATGTATGCCCGCGCACCCTCCGGCTCTGCGCTCTTTCCCCTCTCGCCTCCCCTCCTCTCCTCCTCTCTCTCTCCTCGTCTCGCGTTCCCTCGCCCCACCCCGTCCCTCCCTCCCTCCCTCCCTCCCTCCCTCCCGCCCTCGCTCACTCTTCTGTCCATCCCAACGCCCTCTCACCTCCCCCCCCTCTACCCCCCCTACCAGGACGAGCTGCTGTGGGCGGCGGGGTGGCTGTACCGCGCTACAGCCGACCAGCAGTACCTGGGCTACATCCGCGCCAACAAGGAGGCGCTCAAGGGCGCCGCTACAACCGCCAAGATGTTCTCCTGGGACGACAAATATGCCGGCGCGCAGGTCCTGCTGTCGCAGGTGTGTGACCTCCGCTCCCCCTCTCTCCCCCCCTCTCGTGCTGTCGCTCTTCCTCTCTCTCCCTCGCTCTCTACCTCTCTCCTCTTTCCCTCGCTCACTCTCTCCCTCTCCTCTCTCGTTTGCCGTTCGCCCTCTCCTTTCTCTCAGTATGCCATGCGCTGTGTGTCACCTCCCATCTCCTCTTCTCTCCTTTCTCTCAGTATGCCATGAGCTGTACATGCGATAGACGTCCTCCCCTCTTCTCTCCTCCGTACTCTCTTCTTCCATGCCTCACCTCTCCTGCTCCTCCCTCCTTCCATCTCTCTCTCGCGTTTCCCTCCCCCATCCCCCCTCCTCCCAGCTCGCCCTGGTGGCGGACGACAGCACCATGCAGCCGTACGCCGACCGTGCTCAGGAGTTCATGTGCAACGTCGTGGGGGGGACTAAGACACCGGGTGAGTGGGGGGAAGAGTGTGGGGGAGGGGAGGGGCCGACGAGAGAGTGGGGGGGGGGGGGGGGGGAGACGGAGGGAAGATAAGATAATTTTTTTTCTCGATCCCTCAATGGGCATCCGTTTTATGAGCTAGATCTAGGTCCATTCTAAGGAGGCTTGCTGCGGATCGAACCCATTTTCTTCTTACCAGTTGTCTCGATCCCGACAACCTTTTCTGCATACTGCTCTCTGCGTCATCTCCCCCAACCTTTCCTCTTCTTCAATCACCCGTCGTTTCCCTTGACCCCAGGCTGGCTGCGGTCTTCCTGCCATGGAGCAGCTTGCAGTGCATGACCTCGGAGCCTCGATCTCATAGATCCTCTTTCCTGCTCCTTTCCCCTGCCCCTGCCCCTGCTCCTTCCCCTTCCCCTGCCCCTTCCCATTCCCCTTCCCCTCTCCCTCCCTTCTCCTGCTCCCCTATCCACGCCAGGCGGGCTGCTCATCTTCCTGCCGTGGAGCAACCTGCAGTACGTGACGTCGGCGTCGCTGCTGCTCTCGGTGTACTCGGACTACCTGGACCGCGCCTCCGTGGCGTCCTTCAAGTGCGCCAGCGGGCCCACGCTCACTCCCGCGGACCTCAGGCGCACGGCGCAGAAGCAGGTGCGAGTCATGGGAGAGAGGCGCAAGGCCCGTATGTACGTGGTTTGTGCATGGTTTGTACACGCAGAGAGGTGTGGGGCGCATGGGGTTGGAGGTCTCTGCGCTACATGCGCCCGCTCATGCACACTCACCTCATCTACACTCCCTCTCATACCCCATCTCACAACCCCTCTCTCACGCCCCTCCAGGTGGTTCCAGGTGGACTACATCCTGGGCAGAATCCCCCCAGGAAGCGTTCCCAAGCGCATGAGCACAGCATTCAAACCCCCTCACTTACACTCCCCAATACTCCCCTGTCTCCCACACCAACCCCTGCACACCCCCCCCCCCCCCAGGTGGACTACATCCTGGGCAGCAACCCCAAGGCCATGAGCTACATGGCGGGGTACGGGTCGTACTACCCCAAGCGGCAGCACCACCGGGGGGCGTCGCTGCCGTCCATCAAGAGCAGCCCCGCGTTCATCGCGTGCGGGGATGGCTTCTCCTTCTTCCACACGCAGGTGAGGCCTAATTGAAATGGTCTTTTTAAGTCGACTCAGAAGAAGTCAAGAGCAGTCCCTCATTACTTGCAGGGGAGGCTTCTCACACTGCACCTCTCATCTCCTCCCTCTCATCTCCTCCCTCTCGTCTCCTCCCTTCCTCTTCCTGTCCCAATCCCTCCTCCGCTGCTCTTTCCACTCCTCAGAGCCCCAACCAGAACGTCCTGGCAGGAGCGCTAGTGGGCGGCCCTGACGCATCAGACTCGTTCTCTGACGACCGCAGCAACTACCAGCAGAACGAGCCGAGCACGTACGTGAACGCGCCGCTGGTGGGTGTGCTGGCGCGCATTGCAGGCGGCACGGAGAAGATCCCCGTCACGCATGCCGACCCTGCGCCCATTACTGCGCCCAAGGGGAGCCGGCCGGGAGGGAGTACTGGAGGAGGGAAGGGGTCCGGTGGTGGAAGCAGTGGTGGGGCGAAGAGCCCCCCAAAGAGCCCACCGAAGAACACTGGAGGTACGCTGACCCTTTGCCGCGCACCCTCCTGTGTCTCCCCATGTTTTGTGCTTTTCTCGAGAGCTCTTACTTGATAGTGCATTGACTGTGGCGTGCGCTAGAGCATTGATGACAAGGATCTCTGAGTGTCCTTCGCAGTTTCTCCGTGTCGGTGTCTTTCTCTGACTCCTTGTTACTGCTTCACAAACACCAGCAGGCAAGCCCAGCAATGGCAAGAACAACAATGGCGACAGCAAGAGCAGCAGCGGCAGCAAGGGCGGCAGCAAGGGCGTGCGGCGGCTGGTGGTGCGCACGAAGCAGACGGGCACGTGGAAGGACAAGAGCGGGCAGGAGGTGGGGCGGTACTCGGCCAACATCACCAACGTCAGCGGGGGGCGGCTCAACGCCGTCACCCTGCGAGCCAGCAACTTCCATGCATCAAGGTAGCGCTTTCTCCAAGGGTCGACCGCCATGGCTGCTGCTCGGGATGTGGGGGCTTTGTAAATAGTACTTGTTGGTCTGGCCGGTCTGGCCTCAGGCTGATCCTGCCACTCTCCGCACAATGACTGATCAGCCATGCCCCCTCCCCCCCACACCCTCCCCCCCCCCCCCATTTTCCGCCTCACGGGTGCAGCTACTGGGGGCTGACTTGGTCGGAGAAACCCAGGGGGTACCGGATAGTGCAGAACGGTGGAAACCTGGACAAGGGCTCGTCAGTCGCAGTGGTGTACATCCAATCGGGGGGCAAGGCCCGTTTCCGCGGCATTTGGAAGGACTAAGTGCGTGGGAGGGCGAAAAGCATGGGAGGTGAAAAGCGTGGGATGGCGAAAAGTACGGAAGGACTAACGGTGATTCGTGATACCTGTCAGCTGATCCTGAAGTGTGCTGTAGAAGGAATGGGCATGCGACACAGTACTAGGGAGGAGAAGGCTTCTCAGGCACCTTACAAGAATTCGACTAAGGGCGCATTCCCCCTGCGTGTCACGCTCTCTGGCACGAGGGCTTTGTGTCAGCATCCTGACACGCCTTGGGGATTCACCCTAACATCAGTAGTAGCGGAGGATAGGGCCCCGCATCGTTGTGGGGAGGTTATGAGCCCATAATCATACGGTGGGAAAAAGAATACGAGCGTTAGTGGTGCGCGCAAGTGTAATGTATTATAGTAGATTGCCTTCACGGTGGGCTGTAGATAAGTGTCATGATGAGTATTCATATTAGTCGATGTGAGCTAATTTCTAAACTAATTCATAGGGATAGGTATATTGGGTCTTTTTGTATCGCAGTACATATTTATATATGATCATTTGGGCTGGAAAGAAGTTGCAGCACCGAAGATGGCATTTCATAATCATGTAAGCCAAAATAAGCGTAAACGGACGAGAGGTAAATAAATAAATCAATACCACAAAGCGAGGTAGGTATATTTGGGACAGCGAGGCTGCACAAAGCGGAGCCCCCGGCTCCCACACCCTACTCCTCCTGTGAAAGAAAACCCTCGGCAGCTGAAGGGTGGTGTGACCAAGTGATCATCACTTGAGCCCACTCTCAAGCTAAGGCAGTATGAGTAGTGTGTGAGTGAGAGAACGCTGAGAGTACGGAACGGAGTAAATCTGGAGGAGTCTCACAGGGGCTCAACGGATATAGTGGAGCGCCAGAGCAGGCCAGAAAGGCAAGGAACGACACGCTAGGCCGATTCACGGACGCTGAACGTGGGGAGTACCGAGGCAGGTTAAATCTTCAAGGTTAGGCGGCAGAGCTTGCGATGGCGGAAGTGGCGGGAAACAGTGTAATTTGCCAGCTAGCCGATGCAGAGGGCAAGTTGGCCGGCAATCCCGTGGACATTCCGCAGGACGCGGGGCCCAGGGAGCTGACGGCGCTACTTAACGCCATCCTCCAGAATGTACGTCCTAGTTCATCGCGATTAAGTACGTGTCGAATTGAGCGCGCCTTTTCTTGCGACTCAGCGCGTGTTAAATGTACTGTAGGCGGGCGCCCTCTCTCCCATTCTTCCCCCCTCTCCTCGTGCCTCGCGCTGTGTGCTGTGCGCTAAGTAACCGACGAGCCCCATTTAGCGCACGCGCGCGCGAACGCCTGCCCGCTTGCTCTGGTTATGAGGCTCCTCAAAACTAGACTCCTATCACGCCTGTCCGCTTGCTCTGGTTGACAGTCTCGTCGTTTCGAAACGTGTCCCTCCACCTGGTTAGCCCGTTCATTTTTTAAGCGCCTCAAAAATAGCTTCGGAACTTGTCCCTCCACCTGCTTAGCCGTGTCTGTCGCCTCGGTGTGCGCGGGGATAAGGGAAAGAGAGGGTTTATCTTGGACAGGGCACGGGGTTTATGACGGAGAAGGTTTGAGATTTATTGACCGCGGTTTCCTTCCAAATGAGCTATCTGTTACTGGTCGTTGAGGGGCTGTGCAGCACCTCACTGCATGCTAAGGCTCCCCGCAGGATCCGGGGTTTAAGGTTCTAGGGTTTAAGGTTTCCTCGGTGCGCACTTGTTCGATTGGGTGATGCGCTGAGCACCGTATAGGTTGATGGTTCGAGGTTCAAGGTTTAAAGGTATTCCCTGTGATTAGCGTTCGTCACGGTTATCATTGGGCTGCGCTTTCTTGCTCTCGTGCTTCAGTGTGTGTCTCTCTCTCTCTCTCTCTGCACACGGGTGCGTGTGCCTGCATATGGCACGTGGCATGTGGTGTGCGTGGCATGCGCATTCATGTATGCATGTGCGTGCATGCTTGTGTGCTTGTTTCCATGCCTGTGTGCATGCATGTGTTGGCATCAGGAGGAGAAGCTACCATACGCGTTCTACATCGACGACAGGGAGGTGTCAGAGCCGCTAGGAGAGCACCTAAGACAACACAAAGGTACTCTATCCCTCCCGCAGGTCTCTCTCTCCCCGCCGCACCCCTGCTGCCATCCCATCATATGCCCGCATCGTTTCTGCTCCCACCAACCCCTTCTTCTACAACCGCTCTTGTTTCCACACCCTCACTCGTGCTTCCCTCGTGCTTCTCTCGTGCTTCCCTCGTGCTTCTCTCGTGCTTCCCTCGTGCTTGTTGCCTGTGAATAAACCCCCCGCCTCTCTCCCTCTCTCCCCCCTCCCCCCTCCCCCCGCCCTCCCCCAAAATCACTGCGCCAGTCTCCGTGGAAAGGATTTGTCCATCGTTGTAGTACCAGCCCCGAAGCCGATTCTTTACGCGCATCAACCTCACCCCCCTGCCCCCCTGCCCCCCTGCCCCTCTCCCGCCCTCCCGCCCCCCTCCTGTCTCGGCTCCAGTGTCGGTGGAGAAGGTGCTGTCCATCGTGTACCAGCCCCAAGCCGTGTTCCGAATCCGATCCGTCACCCGCTGCTCTGCCACCATTCCAGGTACGCGCCTTGCATGTGCGCGCGTGTGCTTTTGAGTCGACTCACAACAACAAGCAGACCACCATTCTGGGTGTGCGCCTTGGATGCGTGCGTGTGTGCGAGAGAGGAGGTGGGGTTGGGGGGGGAGATGAGGAAGGGGAGGTGGGGTGAGGGAGGGAGAGTGAGGCGGGCACTTACTTCAGCGAAAGGGCAAGGCCGAAAGTTGCCTATGTGAACCGAAAGTTGCCTATGTGAACCGAAGGTTCCCCTTGAAAAGTTGCAATGCCGGATGCTTCCCCTTGAAATCGTACTGAACTTCGCCCTCCTTCCTACAACCCCCCCCCCCCCTCCCCTCCCCCCCCACCCCCGCCTTTTCCCCCTCCTTTATGTTAGCCCCTTCCCCCCCTTTCCCCCCCCTACTCCATGTCCCCCCCCCCCTCCTCCTCCTGTCCCTCCTCCCCCGCTGCTCTTCTTTCACCAGGCCACACAGAAGCGGTGCTGGCTGTTGCCTTCTCCCCTGACAGCAAGCAGCTGGCGAGCGGGTCGGGCGACACCACCGTGCGCTCAAGACGCACGCATCTGCCCCTGCTGCCTCCCTTCCCCCCGCCTCATTCCTCCCTTCTATCCCCCTCCCTTCCCCTTTCGCCCCTCCACCCCCACTTCGCCCCACCCCTCCTCCTTTCCCTCCTCCCCCGCTGCTCTGTTTCCACCAGGCCACACGGAGGCAGTGCTAGCTGTGGCCTTCTCCCCCACTCCCACCCCCCCTCTCCCCACTTCATGTCTCCCCCCCAACCCCCCTCGCCCTCTCCCCCCCCACCCCCTCTCCCTCTCCCCCGCCCCCCACTTTCACCAGGCCACACAGAGGCAGTGCTGGCTGTTGCCTTCTCCCCGGACAGCAAGCAGCTGGCGAGCGGGTCGGGCGACACGACGGTGCGGTTCTGGGACGTGAACACGCAGACGCCGCTCAAGACGCGCGCGGGGCACAAGAACTGGGTGCTGACGCTCGCATGGTCGCCCGATGCGAGGTACCTGGCCACAGGCGGCATGGACGCGCACGTGCTGCTGTGGGAGTCGCCCGCGGGGGAGAAAGACCCTGTTGCGCTCAAGGTGGGTGTGTGGGGTGGGGGGGGTGAGGATGGGGTGGATGGGTGCGAGGGTTGGCATTGCTGGATGGTCGGGTGTTTGTTTTGGAGTTGAACGTGCAGATCTAACCCCCTCTCGCGCTCCAACACACACGCACGTGTGCGCACACTGACACTCTCACGCAAACAACCCAAGACACGCACTGCAACACTCGTCCCAACACTCGTCCCAACACTCGTCCCAATACTCGTCGCAACCTTCTTATCCTCACCACCCTTCCCAGAATTCCAGCTTATCCGAACTTAAAACTTCCTGACACAACCCTCCCCCATTTCCCCTTCCCCCCCTCTCACCTCCCACCCCTTCTCTTCCCCCCCAGGGCCACCGCAAGTGGATAACAGCTATAGCCTGGGAGCCGGCGCATGTGGCGCTGCCGTGCCGGCGCCTGGCGAGTGCGAGCCGTGACGGGGACGTGCGCGTGTGGGACGCCGTGAGACGCGCCACGCTGTTCGTGCTCACAGGGCACACGCTGGCCGTGACCAGCCTGCGATGGGGAGGGGATGGTGTGATCTACTCGGGGTGAGTTACGGGGGTGTTGCGGGCGCGGGGGAAACGGGGGGGGGGGGGGGGGGGGGGGCACCGTGCCACGCTGTCCGTGCTCACGGGACACATGTTGGCCGTGACCAGTTTGCGATGGGGAGGGGATGGCGTGATATACTCGGGGTGAGTTAAGTTCCAAGCAAGACTTCTCAATAGCTACTAGCTAGGAGGGGAACGGAGACATTCACGTGTGGTAAACGCTGTGGGACCCCGTGGGAGTCGGGCCATGCTGTTCTTGCTAACAGGGCATACCCTGGGTTGGATTGGAGAGGGGATGGTGTGATGTAATCTATTCAGGGAGTTGGGGGGGTGTCTGTGCGGACGGGTAGGGGTTATGTGCAGTGGCCACTGTGGGGTTATGCTGCTCGTCGCAGAGACGAGGCCCACACTGCCTGCAGATCCTTGGACTCGCAGCTTCCCGTCTCCTGACGCCGCGCTCACTGGAAGATGTCCAAGGATCCGCACCTGTCCGATGGAGTGTGCCTACCTGGCAGCGCGGAGAGCGAGTGGCATATCCTTGGACATCTTCCAGTAACCTGTCTCCTGACGCCGCGCTCACTGGAAGATGTCCAAGGATCTGCAGGCAGACGACGCACACACTGCGTGCAACTAGAACCACTCTCAGAAGCTCCAACCTCTTCCGCTTCCCCACCTTGCTTGCCTCTTCCCCCACCGTCCCCCCCCTTCCCTTTCCCTCCCCCCTCCCCCTTCCCTGACGTCCCCCTTGCCCAGTTCTCGCGACTGCACGGTGCGCATGTGGAGTGCTGCCAACGGTGCTGCCCTGCAACAACTCAAGGTGAGCCAACGGTGCTGCCAACGGTGCTGCCAATGGTGCTGCCAACGGTGCTGCCAATGGTGCTGCCAATGGTGCTGCCAATGGTGCTGCCAATGGTGCTGCCAATGGTGCTGCCAATGGTGCTGCCAATGGTGCTGCCAATGGTGCTGCCAATGGTGCTGCCAATGGTGCTGCCAATGGTGCTGCCAATGGTGCTGCCAATGGTGCTGCCAATGGTGCTGCCAATGGTGCTGCCAATGGTGCTGCCAATGGTGCTGCCAATGGTGCTGCCAATGGTGCTGCCAATGGTGCTGCCAATGGTGCTGCCAATGGTGCTGCCAATGGTGCTGCCAATGGTGCTGCCAATGGTGCTGCCAATGGTGCTGCCAATGTGCTGCCAATGGTGCTGCATGGTGCTGCAATGGTGCTGCCATGGTGCTGCCAATGGTGCTGCAATGGTGCTGCCAATGGTGCTGCCAATGGTGCTGCCAATGGTGCTGGCCAATGGTGCTGCCAATGGTGCTGGGCCAATGGTGCTGCCAATGGTGCTGCCAATGGTGCTGCCAATGGTGCTGCCAATGGTGCTGCCAATGGTGCTGCCATGGTGCTGCCAATGGTGCTGCCAATGGTGCTGCCAATGGTGCTGCCCAATGGTGCTGCCAATGGTGCTGCCAATGGTGCTGCATGTGCGCAATGGTGCTGCCAATGGTGCTGCCAATGGTGTGCCAATGGTGCTGCCAATGGTGCTGCAATGGTGCTGCCAATGGGTGCCTGGCTGCCAATGGTGCTGCCAATGGTGCTGCCAATGGTGCTGCCAATTGGTGTCTGCCAATGGTGCTGCCAATGGTGCTGCCAATGGTGCTGCCATGGTGCTGCCAATGGTGCTGCCAATGGGTGCTGCCAATGGTGCTGCCAATGGGTGCTGCCATGGTGCTGCCAATGGTGGTGCATGGTGCGCAATGGTGCTGCCAATGGTGCTGCCAATGGTGCTGCCAATGGTGCTGCCATGGGTGGCTGGCGCAATGGTGCTGCCAATGGTGCTGCCAATGGTGGCTGCCAATGGTGCTGCCAATGGTGCCATTGCTGCCAATGGTGCTGCCCAATGGTGCTGCCAATGGTGCTGCCAATTGCTATGGTGCTGCCATGGTGCTGCAATGGTGCTGCCAATGGTGCTGCCAATGGTGCTGCCAATGGTGCTGCCATGGTGCTGCCAATGGTGCTGCCAATGGTGCTGCCAATGGTGCTGCAATGGTGCTGCCAATGGTGCTGCCAATGGTGCTGCCAATGGTGCTGCCAATGGTGCTGCCCATGGTGCTGCCAATGGTGCTGCCAATGGTGCTGCCAATGGTGCTGCCAATGGTGCTGCCAATGGTGCTGCCAATGGTGCTGCCAATGGTGCTGCCTGGTGCCCATGTGCTGCCAATGGTGCTGCCAATGGTGTGTGGTGCTGCCAATGGTGCTGCCAATGGTGCTGCCAATGGTGCTGCCAATGGTGCTGCCAATGGTGCTGCCATGGTGCTGCCAATGTGCTGCTGGTGCCCAATGGGTGCTGCCAATGGTGCTGCCAATGTGCTGCCAATGGTGCTGCCAATTTTGGATTGCTGCCAATGGTGCTGCCAATGGTGCTGCCAATGGTGCTTGGCCAATGGTTGGGCTGCCAATTGGTGCTGCCAATGGTGCTGCAATGGTTGCTGGTGCTGCCCATGGTGCTGCCAATGGTGCTTGCCAATGGTGCTGCCAATGGTGCTGCCAATGGTGCTGCCAATGGTGCTGCCCAATGGTGCTGCCAATGGTGCTGCCAATGTGCTGCCAATGGTGCTGCCATGGTGCTGCCAATGGTGCTGCCAATGGTGCCTGGTGTGCCATGGTGCTGCCAATGGTGCTGCCAATGGTGCTGCCAATGGTGCTGCCAATGGTGCTGCCAATGTGTGCATGGTGCTGCCATGGTGCTGCCAATGGTGCTGCCAATGGTGCTGCCATGGTGCTGCCAATGGTGCTGCCAATGGTGCTGCCAATGGTGCTGCCAATGGTGCTGCAATGGTGCTGCCAATGGTGCTGCCAATGGTGCTGCCAATGGTGCTGCCAATGGTGCTGCCCCCATGGTGCTGCCAATGGTGCTGCCATGGTGTGCATGGTGCTCCAATGGTGCTGCCAATGGTGCTGCCAATGGTGGCTGCCAATGGTGCTGCCATGGTGCTGCCAATGGTGCTGCCAATGGTGCTGCCAATGGTGCTGCCATGGTGCTGCCAATGGTGCTGCCAATGGTGCTGCCAATGGTGCTGCCAATGGTGCTGCCATGGTGCTGCCAATGGTGCTGCCAATGGTGCTGCCAATGGTGCTGCCAATGGTGCTGCCATGGTGTGTGCTGCCAATGGTGCTGCCAATGGTGCTGCAATGGTGCTGCCAATGGTGCTGCCAATGGTGCTGGTGCTGCCAATGGTGCTGCCAATGGTGCTGCCAATGGTGCTGCCAATGGTGCTGCCAATGGGTGCTGCCAATGGTGCTGCATGCTGCCAATGGTGCTGCCAATGGTGCTGCCAATGGTGCTGCCAATGGTGCTGCCAATGGTGCTGCCCAATGGTGCTGCCAATGGTGCTGCCAATGGTGCTGCCAATGTGCTGCCAATGGTGCTGCCAATGGTGCTGCCAATGGTGCTGCCAATGGTGCTGCCAATGGTGCTGCCAATGGTGCTGCCCATGGTGCTGCCAATGGTGCTGCCAATGGTGCTGCCAATGGTGCTGCCAATGGTGCTGCCAATGGTGCTGCCAATGGTGCTGCCCATGGTGCTGCCAATGGTGCTGCCAATGGTGCTGCCAATGGTGCTGCCAATGGTGCTGCCAATGGTGCTGCCAATGGTGCTGCCAATGGGTGCTGCCAATGGTGCTGCCAATGGTGCTGCCAATGGTGCTGCCAATGGTGCTGCCAATGGTGCTGCCAATGGTGCTGCCAATGGTGCTGCCAATGGTGCTGCCAATGGTGCTGCCAATGGTGCTGCCAATGGTGCTGCCAATGGTGCTGCCAATGGTGCTGCCAATGGTGCTCCCAAATTGCCTGCCTCCCAAATTGCCTGCCTCCCAAATCGCCTGCCTCCCAATGCTCCTTACTCCCCTGCTTTCTGCATGCCCATCGACCTCCCCATACAATCAGGGCCATGGGGCACTGGGTGAACTCTCTGCCTCTCAGCACATGTGTGTGGTGCTAGCTGCCTCACGAGTTTACCCCCTCCCCCCCCCAACCCCCCCTGTTTCCTCCCTCCCCTGCGTTTTACTTCCTGCCCTACCTGCCATCCCATGCTCATCCCCCATTACACCTATCATGCCTATCATGCCTATCACGCCTATCATGCCTATCACGCCTATCATGCCTATCACGCCCATCCCGCTCACCACACCCATCAGGGTCACGGGCACTGGGTGAACTCTCTCGCTCTCAGCACGGATTATGCGCTCAGAACAGGTGCCTTCGACCACCGGGGGGTGAACGCACTTCTAGCCACCGACGAAGAGAGACAGGTGAGTGCCGTCTACTTCTGACTCGGCTCACGGCACGGACTATGCATTAAGGGCAGGCGCCTTCGACCCTGAGGGGGTCAACGCACTGCCTTTTTTTTAGTCGACTCAAAAGCAGACCGGGGGGGAGTCAACGCTCTGCCAGCCACCGAGGAAGAGAGACAGGTGAGTGCAGTCTAGTTCTGACGCGGCTCATGGCACGGACCAGGCACTGAGAGCAGGCGCCGTCAACCAAGGGGGGGATCAACGCGCTGCTTTTTTTAGTCGACTCAAAAGCAGACCACGGGGGTTCAACGCACTGCTGATGAGAGGCAAGTAGGAGATGCAGTCTAGTTTTGAGGCGGCTCAAGGCACGGACTTTGATAGGTATTTTAGAGTTCTTAAAACCTATCACACGCGGCTCAAAGCACGGAGTTTGCACTCGGAGCAGGTGCCTTCGACCAGGGGGGGGTCAGTACAACGCAACGCACTGCTTGCCAGCCACAGACGAGGGGACAGGTGGGGGGTGAGACAAGTGTTGAGATACAAATTTATGGTACAAGTTGTTCTTTAGAATTCTCAAAAGCACCCTGCAAGTACAAGGTGACGTGGGGGAGACGGGGAGACAGGTCGTGGAGGGGAGGACGTCTCACAAGTCAGGCGAGGAGAGAGAGGTGGGGGCTGGGGCTGGGGTGAGTGGGTGAGACCAAGTTGAGATGCAAGTCACGGTACAAGGTAGGATCAACTCCAGCCGTTCTTATTTTTGAGGCGCTTCAAAAGCTGGTTTTTACTTCGTGACGATCAGCTATCTTTTGATTTTGAGTCGACTCAGAAGTCGCTTCCTGACGATCAGCCATCGTTTCTATCTATCTCTCCTCCCTCCGCCCCCCCCAGTCGACTCAAAAGTCGTTTCTATCTACTCTCTCCTCCCGGAGCGTTCCTCGGCCCAACCCAGTTTCCTCTGCCACTTTCCGTAGGTGAATTTTGAGTCGACTCAAAAGTCACTCTCTCCTCCCAGAGCGTTCCTCCCCCCCACCCAGTTTCCTCTGCCATTTTCCCTCCCCTCCCCTCTCCCTTTTCCCGTCCCTGTGCCCTTTTCCCTCCCCCTCGCTCCCTCCCCCCTCTCACTTCACCAGGAGAAGGCGCGAGTGCAGTACGAAGCAGTGAGGGCACTCACCCTCCCTCTCGCCTCCTGGCACTCCTCCCACTTTTACTCCCAGGGCTCTCCTCCCTTGCGTGAGGCTCCTCCAAAGTCGCCTATTCTTCCCCTTCCCCGCCTTTCCTTCACCCCTCTCACTACACCAGGAGAAGGCGCGAGTGCGGTACGAAGCGGTGAGGGGCGAGAGTGGGGAGCGGCTTGTGTCGGGGTCAGATGACTTCACCATGGTGCTATGGCACCCGGCCACCGCCATGCAGCCCAACTCGCCGGTCGCTGCTGCTCTTAAAGCCAAGCTCACCGGCCACCAGCAGGTCCGTGCGTGCATGCGTGTGTGTGTGCGTGTGTGCGTGGGTGTGTGCTTGCGTGCATGGGTGTGTGCTTGCGTGCGTGGGTGTGTGCATGCGTGCATGGGTGTGTGCATGCGTGCATGGGTGTGTGCATGCGTGCATGGGTGTGTGCTTGCGTGCATGGGTGTGTGCTTGCGTGCATGGGTGTGTGCTTGCGTGCATGGGTGTGTGCGTGCGTGCATAGGTGTGTGCTTGGGTGCATGGGTGTGTGCTTGCGTGCATGGGTGTGTGCACGCGTGCGTGTGTGTGTGCTTGCGTGCGTGGGTGTGTGGTGTGGATGGGTGGGTGTATGCATGCGTGCATGGGTGTGTGCATGCGTGCATGGGTGTGTGCATGCGTGCATGGGTGTGTGCATGCGTGCATGGGTGTATGCATGCGTGCATGTGTGGTGTAGATGGGTAGTGGGTGAACGGTGAAGCCAAGCTCACATGGCTTGGCTTGTGCTATTGAGTCGCCTCAAAAGCTAAGCTCACGCGGCTTCGAGTTGTGAGTGGGTTGTGAGTGGCTTGCGAGTGCCTTGCGAGTGGCTTGTGAGTGGGTTCCTGCGGAAGCTAAGGTCATGGGGCACCAGCAGGTGCATGGGACTCCGAGTTGTGCAAATTAAAACCAGGATCACAGAACCCCCGCCCCCCCCACCCCACCCCCACCCCCACCCCCTCTCCCCTCCTTCCACCTGTGTTTCTCCCCTGACGGTTGCTGGCTGGCCTCACCACTTGCCCATCTGACCCATTTCTCCTCCCCTCCCCCTTCCCCTTCCCCCTCCCCCTCCCCCTCCTCTCTCCCCCTAACCCACCCCCCACTCCTCCTCCCCCCCCCTCGCCAGCTAGTGAACCACGTGTGTTTCTCCCCCGACGGTCGCTGGCTGGCGTCAGGGTCGTTCGACAAGAGTGTGAAGCTGTGGGACGGCGTCTCGGGCCGATTCATCGCGTCCTTCCGAGCGCATGTCAGCCCCATCTACCAGCTGTGGTGAGAGAGAGGAGGGGAAGGAGAGGGGGTGGGGAAGACTGAGCTGTCACTCGTGTGTTTTCATCGCCTCCCTCTGAGCGCATGTCAGCCCCATCTACCAGCTGTGGTGAGAGAGAGGGGGGACGGGGGGACGGGGGGGAAAGGGGGGAGGGGAGAGGGATGAGAGGGGTGGGGGGAGGAATGACGGATGGAAGCAAGAGGGTGGGAGGGGTGCAGTGATTGATGGTCGGAGGGGTGGTGGGAGGGACCAGTGGGAGAAGAGGGAGTGGGAGGAGTGAGATTGTGTGTGTGTGTGTGTGTGTGTGTGTGTGTGTGTGTGTGTGTGTGTGTGTGTGTGTGTGTGTGTGTGTGTGTGTGTGTGGCCATGTTGCTCTCATTCAACCCTCCGCTCTCCCCCTATCTCCCTCTCTCCTCCCTTCCACCCCTCTTCCTCGGATGTTCGCCAGTTGGTCGGCAGACAGTCGTCTTCTAGTGAGCGCCAGCAAAGACAGCACCCTTAAGGTAGAGATGCGGTCGCTGGCACTTGTTATGCTGGTACTCGTTATGCTGGTACTGGTTATGCTGGTACTCGTTATGCTGGTACTCGCTATGCTGGTACTCGTTAGGCTGGTACTCGTTTGGCTGGTACTCGTTAGGCTGGTACTCATAATGCTGGTACTCGTTATGCTCGTATTCGTTATGCTGGTACTCTTTATGCGGGTACTCTTTATGCTGGTACTCATGATGCCTTGCATTGTGCTGTCCAGCCAACCACCTCTTTGCGCTCTCACTGGCGTGGAATGAAATGACATGCGGTTGCGTCGCATGGCATGGCATGGCATGGCATGGCATGGCTTGGCAGGTGTGGGACCTGCAAACGCGCAAAGTGCGGGAGGATTTACCGGGCCACGCGGATGAGGTGAGTGGGCGCTGGTGATGGGATCAGGGTCGTTGCATGCTCTGCTCTGCTCTTCTTCGGTTTGTGAGGTGGATATGGAGAGGGTTTGTGTTGTGTAGCCATGATGATTGGAACAGGGGGAAGGTAGGGGTAAAGGGTAGGAGAAAAGAAGACACTGGGGGGGGGGGAGAGGAGAGGGGAGAGTGGTGAAGGGGAGGGGCGGGGGGGGCGAAGTGAGGGAGAGAGCGAGAGATGTTTAGGAAGGGGAGAAAGAGATTGGATGTATGCCGAATTTGCTTTGTACCTTTGGTTGGTGGCCTGGCAGGTGTTTGCTGTTGATTGGAGCCCAGACGGCACCAAGGTGGCATCAGGAGGGAAGGATAGAGTACTCAAGCTATGGATGACTTAACCCTGGAAGTGTGTGGCATGCATTGCTCCATTATACCGGTCTTACGAATTGACAAAACACAGCCATTTCTGTTCCACATCTGTTGTTCTACCACTTGATTTTCCGTTTGGCTTTATGATGTGGTGAAGAAATGTCCAAAAGCCAGCAGTGATTGGTGCAAATAGTGCCGGGGCCGATCCCATAGATGGAACCTCAATAGTCGCAGACATCTGGTAAGTGGCCATAAAAACCAGGGCTGGTAAATGTACGTATGGGATGTGGAAGGACTGCTTGTGTAAGGAATTTTCCCTTCCTTACCGAGCGGTACTGCTATCGCGTACGCTCGAACACACCCGAAGCCTCGGGACTGTTCCAGACCTTCTGACAGAACCGCCTCGGCTTCTCCAGACCTTTCGGTTCGACCTTCGGGAGTTCTCCAGGCCTCGCGTCGTCACTTCGAGACCCTTCGATCTCCTTCCCGAACCTTCCCATCGCATGGTTAACCTAGCTCTGGTGTTCCTACCGTAATCCCCCGGATATAACACCCGCCGGAATAAAACACCCAGTGGTGTTATATCCGGGGTGGGTGTTCTATTGACGAACCCGCAATTATACACCCACCTTTTGAGGAACCTGGGATAGCACCCACCCCATTGTTTTTGCATACTTTTCAATTTGCGGAGTATACTACAATGTTAATATAAGTTTAGGCACCATCAATCACTACAGTTGCCCTACTACACATGCCATACTAGCAACTACACTATGCATGTTTCATGCCAGTTCGCACATTCGTGCTGTTAACGTAGAAAGGAATGATTACTAGAGGTGGAAACCTAGAACAAATACTAGTTGGTTGTACTCACTAGAAGCATACCTCAGTCTAGCCTATAACTTCTACATAGATAATATGTATAAGTTGACACACCCCCTAGGCTAGACAAGGGGTGAAACTAAACAAGAAGCAAACAGCTCAGGGCGGCACTACTAGTCCAACCACTGAGGCAGGGGTCTGGAGACCAGTCAGCAAGAATACAACCAAAACTGAAGCAAGCCAGGGTGGCACTACTAGTCCAGCCACTGGAGGTAAGGCCACAAGGCCAGTCTGACAAGCATATATAATAGAGAGTACACAATCAGGATCCTAACAGGGGAGCAGCTATAGGAACAAGACCAAGCTGTACACAGTGCCGCTGATGATCTTTAGGCGCAAGCGCCTTAGTAAAGATATCAGCTGTGTTGGCACCTGAGGCCAAGTGAACTACGCGGGCCTGGCGGCGCTGCTGTAGCTCGCGCAGGAGGAAGTACCGCAGCTGGATATGCTTCGCTCTGCCCTCAAGCCGAGGCTCCTGACACAGGAGTATCATGGCCCTGTTGTCAGCGTACAGGACCGGGGCAGAGCTAGGCCGCTCACCTAAGTCTGTGAGTAAGAAGGTCAGCCAGCGGAGCTCCTGTGCCGCCATGGCACCAGCGTAGATCTCAGCCTCACAGCTAGACTGAGCCACAGACGACGAGCGAGTGGATCTCCAAGAGATAGCACCCGAACCAAGGCTGAAACAGTAGCCCTGCGACGACCTGAGCGTCTCAGCGTCGTCTGCCCAAGAAGCGTCTGTGTGCCCAGTAAGGACCACTGGCCTGCGTCCTCCTAGCACTAACCCCATGCCTGATGTACTAGCAAGATAACGCAAAACCCTCTTAGCGGCAGACCAGTGCTGAGGTCGGTGTCTGCCTGTAGCCACAAAGCGAGCCAGGATGCTGAGAGGGTATGCGAGATCTGGGCGAGTGCAAGTCATCAGGTACATGAGGCAACCCACCAGCTCTGCGTAGGGGCCACTGGGCTCTACTGGCTCCTCAGGAACGGGAGCAGAGAGCCCATGGTCTACGGGTAGAGGTGTGGGCTGTGCGGAGGAGAACTGAAGACCGAACCTCTGAAGGACCTGACGCACCAAGTGTGACTGGGTCAGAGTGATGGTGCGTGCTGCTCTGTCCCTAGAGATCTGCAGGCCAAGATAGCGACGCAGCTCTCCAAGGTCAGTGCAGGTGTGTCTCTTCAGCAGCTCAGCCTTCACAGAGGCCAGTGCGTCCCTGTCAGGAGTAGCGAAGACCAGGTCGTCTACGTAGACAAGGATGTAGAACGGAGTCTGGCCGGAACGCACAAACAGTGAAGGGTCAGCAGAGGACGGAAAGAACTGCAGGTCTGCTAACGTGGCACGTAGCGTGTCGTGCCACTCGCGGGGAGCCTGACGAAGGCCGTAGACCGGGCGCCTGAGAAGCCACTGGGTCCCAGGAGGGAAGGTACCAGTGAAGCCCTGTGGTCGGCGCAGGTAGACCTGCTCGTGTAGGCTGCCCTGAAGAAAGGCAGTAGAGAAGTCGAGGGAGTGAAGCTCGTAGTCACGCTGTGCTGCTACGTGTAGCAGCGCCCGAAGAGTGGTCATCTTCGGGGTCGGGGCGAAGGTCTGGAAGAAGTCAACCCCCTCGCGCTGACTGAAACCTCTGGCCACGTAGCGCGCCTTGAAGACAGGCGGCTCTCCAGGGGGGCGCTTCACCTTGAAGAGCCACCGACCATCGACTACGTTCACCCCAGGCGGGGGAACTGCGTCGACGTAAGTGCCGGTGGATCTCCAAGATGCCATCTCCTGCTCCATGGCAGCTATCCACTGAGAGGCCCAAGGTCCCGAGGTGGCCTCAGCGTAGGTGCGAGGGGTCGGGATGTCGAAGGCGTCTGGGTCACCCTCAGGGACTAACAGCATGGAGCAGAGATGGGGAGCAGCCTCGGAAAGGAAAGCCAGCTCGTACTGCCTGTCCTCTAGGACGTCACTGCCAAGGGCAGGAGCACCCCCGACGGACAGAGGACGGGCAGGGTCAGAGACCAGAGCGGTAGCGTAGTCAAGGCGGCGGGTAGAAGCGAAGTCAGCGACAGCAGCGACAAGCGCGTCAAGGCGCGAGACAGGAACAGCAGGGTCGGTAACAAGAGAGGCAAGGACCCGAGGGACAAGGGGACGAGCAGCACGGAGGTAGTCAGAGAACGGAGGAGGTGCAACAGCAAGGGACGAGGGAGGAGGGGACGGGAGGAGGGGAGGACGAGACGAGTGGGAACGGAGCAACATAGGGTGGGTGGGCAGGACAGGAGAGACGGGACGAGCACGGGAGGGACGGCGAGCCCAAACGTGAGACGGAGGGGTAGGGTCAGGGGACAGCGGAGGAGACACAGGAGGGGAACGAGGAGGAAGACGGGCCGGAGACGAGTCTGGCGGCGGGAACACAGGACCGTAGACAGGGAGGTCAGGAGGCGGTGGGGGAGACACCGGCGCGCGGTCCGGGGAGGGAAGGCCGAGCAGGCGGAGAGCGGAAACCGGCGGCGACGGCTGCTGTGGCGGCGACGACGGCTGGGCCGGAACTCTCGGACCAGCAGAGGCAGAACGACCGTCGGCAGAACACTCAACAGCAGCACCCCCAGAACCAACACCCCAAGAGCGAGAACCCCCTCCAACACCAGCGGCACCCCCAGAAGCCGCAGGACGAACACCCTCCTCCACACCAGCACCCCCAGGGGCCGAGAGCAGCGGCGGCAGTGGCGGCGACAGCGGCGACGGCTGCGGCGGCGACGGCGACGGCGGCGGCAGCGGGGTCGGCGACTGCGACAGTAGGGAAGGCAGCCAGGTCTGGGAACAGCATCGGAAAGAGCAAGCGGCCAGCAGAAGCGGAGGCAGGGGTGGAATAGCGAGCAATAACGGCGTCTAAATAAGCTTTGGCCGTTTCAACAGTAGCAAAACGCGAGCGCTCAGACACAGGGAGGGCGTGACTAATAGCAACCTGAGCTACTGCATCGCGTGAGTCCCAGACCGCACAGGCTAGCGCAGCAGTAGAGAAAGCCTCACGGTCATCAGAGGAGGGGTCAGCAGGGAGGGGAGTAGGTGCAGGGGGACGGGGGAGCAAGCCATCAGCATGGACAACCAGAGAGTGGCCATCCTGGCGCTGACCTGTAAGCTGGCGGCGAAGATCGGAGAGCCAGGCGGCGAAGTCAACCGCGTGGCCCTCAGCGTCCAGGCGGAGCACAAAGTCAGCCATCGTGCAGGGTCAGCGGCACAGCTCCTCAGCGACACAGCGGCACAGCAGCACAGCTCCTCAGCGGCACAGGAGCACAGCGGCGCGGGGACACGGCGGCAGCACTCTCCAGTAGGGCAGCAGCTAGGCGTCCCAGCGCAGGCAAGCAGAAGACACAGGGCCCGAGAGGACACGGCAGGCCGAGCAGGGGAGGCGGGCAGGTGCTCTAGGGCCGGGCTGGTGCTGGGAGGGGCCAGGCTGGTGCTGCTGGGGCCGGTCGGGCACGAGGAGGGGCCGGGCAGCGCTGAGGAGAGGCCGGGCGGCGCTAGGAAGGGGCCGGGCGGCACTAGGAGGAGGCCGGGCGGCACTAGGAGGAGGCCGGGCGGCACTAGGAGGAGGCCGAGCGGCACTAGGAGGAGGCCAGGCGGGCGAGCGCTAACAGCAGGCGCGACAGGGGCCAGCGGGCGCGACGGGGCCTAAGGGGCGCGACGGGGCCCAGCGGGCACGACGGGGCCCAGGGGGGGCGCGACGGGGCCGAGGAGGCGCGACGGGGACCAGCGGGCACGACGGGGCCCAGGGGGGCCGCGACGGGGCCTAACGGGCGCGACGGGGCCCAGGGGGGGCGCGACGGGGCCTAGCAGGCGCGACGGGGCCTAGGAAGCGCGAAGGGGCCCAGCGGGCGCGACGGGGCCTAGGAGGGGCGCGACGGGGCCGAACGGGCGCGATGGGGCCCAGAGGGGGGGGACGCGACGGGGCTTAGGAGGCGCGACGATGCCTAGGAGGCACGACGGGGCTCAGCGGGCTCGACGGGGCCCATGGGGGGCGCGACGGGGCCTAGGAGGCGCAACGGGGCCCAGCGGGGGCGCGTTAGGGCCTAGGGGTCGCGACGGGACCCAGCGGGCGCGACGGGGCCCAGGGGGAGCGCGACGGGGCCTAGGAGGCGCGACGGGGCCCAGCGGGCACGACGGGGCCCAGGGGGGGCGCGACGGGGCCTAACGAGCGCGACGGGGCCCAGGGGGGGCGCGACGGGGCCTAGGGGGCGCGACGGGGCCTAGGAGGCGCGACGGGCGGAAGCGGTAGGCGGGGGGATC